GTTGGAAGACATGACCTATGAATAAGAGGAAGTCTATTAAATATTCTGTGTTTTGTCATTTTAAAATATGGAGAAGATGAGCTAGCAGGCATGGTTCAGTGGACTGAGTGTTGTCCCATGCACTAAGATGTTGCTAGTTCAATTCCTGATCAGGGAATATGCATGGGTTGTGGGTTGGGAATCTATTAGGGGACATGCAGGAGGCAGGTGATCCATGTTCCTCTATCATTGATGTTTTTATCTTCTTCCTCTCTTTCTCTAAAATAAAATCAATGAAACATATTATTTAAAAATATGCAGAAGATGAAGACTGTCCATGTTTTATTTATTTGATGGGAAGTCAGAATATAAATGTAACTAGATAAGTTCCTTTCAGTGTGTACTGGCAACCTTCTCTAAAGTAATTAAAAGTGTTTTCACCCATGATATCTCCAGAATTATAAAGGGAAATTCTCAAAGTTGTGCAAAGAAAGACAGTCTACAAACCAAGGTATTATTCTCCCTCAGATATTCTTCTTTAAAATAACTTGATTGTTTTACCTAAATCATCAGTAGGCTTATTTAATCTCATTCCTGACCCCAAAATACAAAGGTATCGGAAGTGTCCTAGTTACCAAGGAGGAGGGCTTGTGAGATGTAGTGGGCCAGGGAAGAAAATTATGAATTTCTGGATATAAAACAATTAAGTATTATTTCTGATCTCAGTGGCCCCGTTCATATGTTCTACATAACTTCTTAAAATTCCCTTTGCTTACCTTTTTTTTTTTTTTTTTTCCATTGAGGAAATGGAATAATGACGTTGATGAAGACTTACAGGGCTACAAAGCTGAAAAGCATTGTGACAGTCATTGCAGGAGTGCAGGGGGGAAAGTGAAGTCTTTGTGGTCTAATCACCATGTTCTTTTAATAGAGATCTAAAGACAGGAATGATGTTGCTCTCAAAAAGCTGTCATTTATTGTTTCCGTTTTCTTCCTTAAATGTCTAATTTGATGCTGTCATGTCAAGACAGAGAGAACTTCAAACAGCCACTGTTACCTGCTTTCCCATCTTTTCCCCCATCACCCTCTTCTATCTTATGACTGCTACAGTTGTTATCTTCTGCATCAAAACATCCTTATTTCTCACAAACTCACAGAAAAAAAATAAACTCAAAGATTAGTTAATACACATCCTCTTTCCAGGCCCTCTCCCCTTTTTTTGAATGGAGGGAAGTAGGGGGCACTACAATCTTGGAGAAAAGTATTAGATTTTGAAAGTCTGAGTTTATTTCTTCCTTCTAATATTATCTTCACTTAATATATGTATTAAACTCTCAAACCCTGACACCTGAAGAACTTGTTAAAAACTCAAATTCCTGGCCTGGCTGGTGTGACTCAGTGTTTGAGCATTGACCTATGAACCAGGAGATCAGTGATTCAATTCCCAGTCAGGGCACATACCTGGGTTGTGGGCTCACTTGCCAGTAGGAGGTGTGAAGAGGCAGCCAATCAATGATTCTTTCTAATCATTGATGTTTCTATCTCTCTCCCTCTCCCTTCTTCTCTGAAATCAATAAAAAATATTGGTTTCAGGATTCTACTCAGAGAGATTTCTCCACATTGTGAGAAATCAGCAGGAACCTGCATTTTAAAAAGCATCTAAAAAAAAAATAGCATGCATTTTCTTTAAAAAAAAAAAAATAACAACCAAAAAAACTACACTGTCATCATCTCTTTCACTCATTTGGCATTTTTCAGTTTTCCAAATGCTTGCGCATACATATTTAGTTCTATGAGGTGGATTTTCGAAATGATTCTCACCATTTTGAGCATAAGAAAGAGACTCAGAGTTTAGTAATGATCTTCTCGAATCCTCACTTATACACCCACCTCTTGCTAAGATTTCTCACCTTAACTGACCTTTTTCTTCTTGGGTGTTGAATTGAAAAAGGCAAGGAGACCCAAAGCCAGCTAGTACTATCTGTGCCTGCCTTCCTCAAGCATGAGACAGGTCTTCTGGTAGCCAAGGAAGGAAGATAATTTTATCTCCGGAATGTGAACACTTGCCTAATTGGTACAGTGCTAATTTGATTTTATTAATTTATCTCTACTGTTGAAAGTATTAATTTAAAATGATGAGTCCCCCTTGCCCCACCCAGATGTACTATTAAAAAATGCATTCAAATGTTTTGTTCTGTATTGTTAAAATGCCAAGTTCTCTGTCCTAATTCAGCCACACTGAACTATGGCAGGGGATCTGTGCTGCCCACTGACAGCTGGGATTCCCCCCTCTCGGACATCTTGCTATTGAACCTTCCTTACAGCTGTCTGTCCCCAACCTCCTGACTGCATGTTTTGCCCAGAGGTAGCATGGAAGGTCCAGACCCCCCAGACATAGTAGGGTTGTTTGACATAGTAATGCCTGCTCTAAACACCTCACAAACCTCAATCATTCTCATTGCAGATGTGAATTTCTGGTAGGTCCACAGGTTAGCGACCACAGGCAGAGAGTTCCTGGAGCCTCTCCTGCTCCCACATTCCTGTTCACTAGTTTCCAGGGCCTGCATTTTCCTTGCCTTCTACTAGGATGGTCCCAACATACACCTGTTTCTGCTTAGAAATCACCCATTTAATCTCTGGGCACTGCCTTTGACACTTAGCCAGGCGTCTAGGTGGAGGCATTAGAGATATTTGAAGATAATTGAAGAAAGAGTGTAAATATAACCGATAGCCACTTTGAGACCTTGGCATGAATGGAAGGTGATGATTTCTTTTGCATTTCCAAAAACCTTTCATGCTGCATTTTAACTTGGGCGGCATGATCTCCTCTGCTGTGTTTTCTGTCACATCCAGCAGTCCCCACTAGCATCCCTAGAGACCCGATTGTACTCCAGAGCTGCTTGTTGACTGCCCTTGTCCACACTCACCCGCTCACCTTACCTCCATTCTCCCCTGTGCAGGGTGCTCATTTGGTTCCTCATTCTAGGGGGTTAACCTGTTTTGCAACTTTCCAGGCAGAACCAAGAAATCTGGTTGGAAGGAAAGGACAACACTTTTCCTATTCCAGGATGAGCTAAAAGTGGGGCTCAACCTGGGGCCCAAGATAAACAGAGAATTCTACCTGCTCCAGATTACTGGAGAGAGGGTGCACTGCCTTCTTTCAGCTCCCCCACTCTTCCCCCCTTCCCTGCACACTAAGTCCTCCAGAAGGCATGGGGTGGTGTTTTCCCTTGGGGGAGGGACCGGACAGAGCCGACCCAAGCTGCAGTTTCCTTGGTCTGCCTGAGCATTTCTCATCCAAACCTCAATCACGTAGGATTGCGTAGAGAGGAGGAAAGGGGAGAGACAGAAGACAGAGAAGGTAGAGAGGGGTGACAGGAAGGAGAAGAAGGGAGTCTGGGAGCAGAGGGCGCAAGGCAGAGGAGGAGGACCGGAGGAGGACCCTGCTGGCTCTTCCTTCGCTCCTGGAGCCCGGCCCCCACCTGGCCCCACCTGGGCGCTCTGGAGCTTTCTGGAGGGCAGACTAGCAGCATCGGAGGTACTCCCACCACCACTGCTCTTGGGCTCTTAGTCCCACAACCTTCTCAGCAGCAGTCGTCCCTGCGTGGAGTTTCCTATGGAGCTAGCTCACTAGCCCAGCAGGCAGAGCTCACTGGGAGGCGGTGACATCGCACGGGAGCTGAAGCAGCTCCCGGCACCCAGAGCCCCAGCCCATGAATGAGAATCCACCCTGAGAGCCCCCTCCGGGGCTCTGAGCTGCCACCCGCACAAGTTGGGCTAATTGGGAGCAGCCCTCACCTGCCTCCTGGTCAGTGGGGCCCCAGAGTCTGCGTCCCTTCGTCCGTCCATCCGGCATCAGGACTCTGTTGGACACTCCGCCACCTCCTGCAGTGGCCCCAGAGGGCCCTAGGGCCCTGCCTGTGCCCCTGGCGCTAGACCATGGTGGGCGACTGGGGCCGGAGCCACAGCCACCTAGAGCCCAGGTCGCCTGCAGCCAGCCCCCGCCCCACCACCGGAGCGCGCCGGTTACTTCCTTCCTCAGCCAGGATGGGCTCTGCTGGACTGAGCAATCTGCCTCCTGCCCGCTGGTAATCCCCCTCTGATCTGCTGCCTGGGGGCCATCCACTGCCAGGGGGTGCGAACCTGGGGCCAGCCTGCGCGGAGATGACCTGATCCAGCTCGCCCGGCACCTCCTCCCTCCTCTGCTCCCTCGGAGTCTGTGCTGCGGGAGGACCATGGCGCGGAGCTCCAGTTAAAGGCGTGTGGGCGCCGCGCTGGGGAGGACACCTTCGACATCCCTGCCTTTGGAGGGGGCTTATTTAAAGGACTGAGTCATTCCAGATTTATGATTCCCTAAATAATCACCGACTGTGCCCGTTTTCGTGCCAGAAAGCAAGCGGAACAGAAAGAGCACCAGCTCCTCTTGGGACCCCGGTATCCATGCTCCTCGCCCTCCCTGCCCCCCAACCCGCGGGTTGCTCCCCGAGGAGTTGCCAAGCCCTCGAGGATCTCCCTCCCTCCCTCGTTCCCTCCCTCCTCTCCAGCCCCTCCTCCCCTCTCCTCCCCAGCCTCCTGCCCTCTGGGCTGAGCTGCCCGCTGGCGGTGGGGAGTCCGCTCACCGCAGAGGTTCCTGGCTGCCCCCTTCCCAGCCCCTCCCTGGACTCCGCTAACGGCTCCCAATGGGAGAGAGGCAGCTGGTGAGATGCAGCTTTTAGACCCCAGCCATCCGGGAGGAGGGACCTCCGAGTCTCCAGTACCGCGGACCACAGGGAGTTAAATCGCTGCCTTCCTCTCCTCTCTGCGGTCCAAAGGAACGTTTTTATTCACTTTTGAAGTCTTTTCCAATGGGGCAAGCCTCCGTCCCTGGTCCAGACTCTGCTTCCTAAACGGGCTCTGTGGGATGTGTGTGTAGATAGACTTTGGACACCTCTGCAACAGGGGCACGGCTTGTTGTTCTGCACATCTTTCGTTCCCTTCCCCTTGGTACCCTGAAGGCGGGGTGACCCAGCTCCCCAGAGCCCCTGGGACGTGCCAATCAGCTTGGGGTGCTCCAGCCTAGTTAGCAGGAAGGCCTGGGTGCGCCCCGCCCCCGCCCCCTCCGCCAGCTGTTGGGGGAAGTTTACATCTGGATTTTCACACGTTTTTTGTCGCTGCCGCCCAGACTCCGATAAACCTTGTGGGCACCGGTTTTGGGAACTGCAGCCTTTTCAAACATTAGCACTGCCTCCCTCGCGCCTCCGGCCCCGGAGGTCCGACCTAGCCCCAGCGGAGAGCAACCCTGAGGGCGCAGTGGAGCCCAGGGCCCGTGACCCTCACTGAGCAGCTATGGCTGCGGCTATAGCCAGCTCCCTGATCCGGCAGAAGCGACAAGCGAGGGAGTCCAACAGCGACCGGGTGTCGGCCTCCAAGCGCCGCTCCAGCCCCAGCAAAGACGGGCGCTCCTTGTGCGAAAGGCACGTCCTCGGGGTATTCAGCAAAGTGCGCTTCTGCAGCGGCCGCAAGAGGCCAGTGAGGCGGAGACCAGGTCAGTAGAAAACCCCGGCTAGGGGCTCCCCAGAGGCTGGCGCCCTCCTCCTCTGCCGCGAAACACCTGGGAACAGGCATGGAAGAGAACCGGTATTCCCCTCCATGCTGGACTTCCTTCTTTCTTAATTTTCAGACATCGCTCTGTCACCCTCTTTCAGTTAATAGCTTCTTGTCCCATATCTGTATCTGGGGAAACACTTTATACCTTGCTGTGACTATGGTTTGACTAGGATGAGAGTTATGCGCATAGATACTTCTAGTCCTGTGTAGCCTGTAGAATCTTTCAGGGCACCTCCTCATTCATTTTTTTTCTTTCTCCATTCATCCATCCATCCATCCATCCATCCATCCATCCATCCATCCATCCATCCCTCTCTTACATTACCTTCTGAGAACCTAAATGTAGTAAATAAGCCCTTTATCCCTATATCTCATACTACTTAGCAAATTCTTGACTCATAATAGACCCTTAGTAGACATCTGGCAAACTTAAATGTAGTCTCTTTTTCTAACTCTTCCTCCAGCAACATATGAACTACATCGTTCAGATCTTCCTGTCAGTTTCTCACCTCTCCATGTTCCCACTTGCCTTTTGACATAGACCTCCTTTTCCTATGCTCTACCACCAGCTACTCTCATGGTTGCCAATGTCTCTGCTCATTAACTTTTCTGCCCTGTGACTCCCATTGTTTGTACACTCACACTTACTTTTGCCACAGCAAGGGGAAAACATAGTATGGGCAATTTGGTTCCAGGGAGGATAGAGCTTTAGACTTAGAGATTTTCTTGGCAGGCCTTTCTGAAGCTGATTCTCTTACCTGGCCCTTAATTCAAATGGCTGGTCTGTAATGTGTGTCTGTTTACAAAGAGAAATTGGATCCCTGGAGTTTCAAAGTGATTCCTCCCAGCTCAAGCCAGCTTGAGAGAATAAAAGCAGAATTGCACAGGTCTGTGCCTCCACCAGACTTGATTGATTCTCTGGGTGTGGCCTTCCTGGTCATTTATAATCTGCAGATATTCTGTCCATACTGTAGATGACTGAAAGGAAATACAGCCCAGAAAGAAAGCTTCCATTCTGTGGTTACTGGACTCATTTAGGTGGGGTGTTTGCAACTCCGTGGTGTTCTCCTGGGTTCCAGGAATGAGGCAGATGGGCCAGGTTCAACTGGGGTGAAGAAAATGCTTGGAAAGTTTCGACAGTTGGGATCAACAATTAATTTAGAATTTTAGATTAAGTCTTGTGAAGAAGCCATCTCATCTCATTTTTCTGTTGGGTTTTCATGATATTATTTTCATTATAGTGAGCTTCTTTTCTTATTCTGTGACGATGATAAAATAGTAAATTTCAGGAATAAACCAAAATCATTATAATCCCAAGGCAGGAGCTACTAAAGCCTCTGTTATTTTGCATCCAATTAATTTCATAAGTTGAAGCTTTATATGAAAACCAGACTTACCTCTGCAGAGTGAATAATTTGCATTAGGGGAAAATAAACTTCCTGGTATTCTGCAGTAATCCTTTGGGGGCCATCTTCTCTCAGGGCTTATGTAGTTAACAAGGAACTTCAAGTCTCTGAATTCAATGTGGTTCTTATATCTCAGTCTCTGAAGTATGTTCTTGCACTGCAGTTAGCATAATGACATGATATTTGTGAATAGATCTTCCTCAGCCTCCTCAGTTCAAAACTAGCTAATAGAAATGACAGGTGGATTGTATGTATGAATGGATAAGGTAAACTTGCCTCATCTTTGTTGAAGTTGATTTGCAGATGAGCTCTTTGCATGGCTTGCTTTTGCATAGGGAAATTGCTTCCTGAGGCCCTTTCCTTAGCATCTCATTAGAAAAGAGAGAACTTGAGGGAATTGCTGATTTTGATGTTTTCTTTAGTGTTCATTTGACCTATTCCTTCTTTTCATCTACTTAGTGTACATCTTGGCAGGGAGGATCCTGACTGGTGACTTCCTTTAGCAAAAGTGCCCTAGTAATAATCTAGCAGAAAGATGGCAATACCTGTTAAGACAGGCCCAATGCAAGGGTGACATGCATGTATCTGTACACCAGGGACTTCCATTTGCTGCAGCTTAGCTTAGAAGAATGTGAGTGTGGGGTACCAAAAAGGTTTCTGGGAAGACAGTAGCATGCTATCATCTTTACTAACAAAGCCAAATAATTAATCTTCTGATTTGCTGTCAGCAACCATGATTCACGTAACAGGGCATGAGCCTATTTAGAGGGAGATAGCACTTTCCACATCTCAATTTCAGAGAGAATTCTTTAACTTGATTGGGAGGAAGTTGCTAAACACCAGAAATAAAGACTATGTGAGAGCACCAGTTTTATAAGGACTTTGCTATTATGTTCACTTAATATTTTAGTTATTCTTCAACTCACTAACGCATATCCTTGTGAACTACAAACAGAATCACCAGTGGTACAGTGGTCACATTCCGTTGCCCAGACTTTCCAGGGATTGAGGCTGAGACAGTGAAACTAAGCCAAGTATTGAATGGGAAAGGCCACGGTTGTGTATCTGATTTCAAGTCTGATACATTTAGTGACTCTCAACCTCTTGTCTTAGATCACTGAGTTTTGATATGTCCTATAATGAAATTGTTAAATGTGGTGGGAGTAATGAAATTATATGATGAAGGTCTCAGCTTTCAGAATCATGATATTGCAGAATGAAAAAGTGAGAACTGGCAGGGTGGACCTCACATCACACACTTACAGGGCTATGGTTCACATCAGATACTTTATGAATGTTATCCCTGGGGCACAATGTGATGGCTTACCCTGGTATTGTATAGCAAAACTCTTGCTTTTATGAGAAATCCTAGAGTCAGAGTTGGTGGTTTATACAAGCTTACACAGGTATACTGTGGCAAAATTGGGACCAGAACTAGATCAAATTGATTTTTCTTGCCTGGGCTCTTTGCAACACAACACAGAAAAAAAGTAAAATGAAGAACTAGAACTAGGTGTCCTCTCTCAAAGGGTGGGAATAATTTTGTGTATTTTCTTACCATTAGAAATTGTTGTTCTGCTAACATTTTTTTAAAATATATTTTTTAGAAAGAGGAAGAAAGAAAGAAAGAAAGAAAGAAAGAAAGAAAGAAAGAAAGAAAGAAAGAAAGAAAGAAAGAAAGAGAAAGAAAATCTGCCCCTTGCAAACCCCTTTTCAGGGATCTAACCCTGACCATAAATCAAACTAGTAATCTTTCTGTGCAAGGGATGCCCAACTAACTGAGCCTCACTGATCAGGGTATTATCTTTACTATTTTGTAATAAGAATAAGAATAGGGTAGGATAGAGGAGGTTACTGGTAGAGGGAGACCTAGGTTAAATCAGGCAATTGGGTTCTAAAATGATTATCCTATAGCTAGCATGCATTATAAAAGTAATTCCAATAGTGGAGACATACAGCCAGTATAGCAATGCTTAGCTCCCTGGGCATTGTGTGGGCTGTAATTCTTCCGAAATGAAATGTTGAAAATCTTAAGCTGGCAAGTTGGCTGAGGTCATTGAACTATAAAAAAAAGGCTTTAGAACATTTCTCTTTGTTCACTTTCTAATATAGGAAGAAGCATTCTTATGGTCATTGTTTGAGTCATTATGTATGTGTGAATTACCTGTATGAGCCAGGCCAGCTAGGATATTTTCTTCAATGTTGATACCACTTAATTTGCTATAGCTAACTAGAGCATCCATGTGAATTATGTAGCTTATTCATTTCCTACGTTTATTTTACTTTTGAATATAAATACAAATGATTGACTTTAAAGTATTTATGTTTTGACTGAGAAGTTACTACACATAATGGGTGGCACTCATAATGAAAAGAAGGGTGTTGATAGAATCTCTGAATGTCAGAGCTGCCATGAACCTTGGATGGAGGTCATCAGAATCGCTTTGTAATTTTTCAAATGAATGCCTTTCTGGGAAGTACAGAGTAATTAGACAAACCTAAATCTGTGTATTTGAAGTGATTTTGTGTTTTTATTATTTTTCTATACAATTTAATTTCTCCCCTCAAATTAGAGCATTAAAAACTCAGAAAATTCATTGGCTAACTAAATTACATATTTTTCATAAATGAAGTATTTGGCTTTCTATGCTCCTCCCTTTTTAAAAGTGATGTAGTATATTGCCCTGGCTGGTGTGTCTAAGTGGTTGGAATGTTATGCTAAACACCAAAAGGTTGCAGGTTTGATTCATTCTCAGGGCACTTACCTAGGTTGTAGGTTTGTCCTTGATTGGGGCATGTACTGAAGACAACCTGTTCATGCTTCTCTCTCACATAAAAATTTCTCTCTTTGTCTTTCTCGCCAACACCCCCCTTTCCCCTCTCAAAAAATCAATGAACATAGCCTTAGGTGAGGATCTTTAAAAAAACATATAAATATAGATGATGTAGTATATTTACACTGAGTGGATACAATAAATTCAAGAAGAGATAATTTTTATTGCTTTTCATTGTCTATTTTTCTGAGTTTTTGTTTCTACTGTAATCAAATTATGGATATTCAAAACATAGTATTATTCCAACTTGTATTGGTAGATGTATAATATTTAATAGCATACTCATTCAATTTTTTACTATCAAACACATCTTTTTAGATAGAAAATCGAAACTTTAAGAAGAAAACTGATGAAATAGGGAAGAGATGCTAACTCATGTTATCTATGGAATATAAATTAGAATTTTAAAATTGAAATAATTTTGGTTCATATACACACCAAGAATAAATTCATATGACAAGTGATATTTTACATCAGTAGCAAGCACTTTTATTGCATATTATCTTTTAAAAGTGTGACTCATGTCTGAACTACAAAATTAGCATAATTAAATATTTGTCTTGCTGTTTGTTTAAAAATAACAAAAAACAAGCTTTTCTCTTCAGAAACCCACTCTAGAGTTTAAAATGATATCTTGTGTGTGTTTTTAAATCATTTTTTTCTATAGTAGTGGATTGTTGTCAACAAGTTATGCTTCC